AGTGGCTCCGCAACTTCTTGAGCGATCGGAGAGCCAGGGTCAGGTGGGGCAACAGCACATCAGACTGGAGGGTCTTTCCAGAGGGCCTACCGCAAGGCTCGGTGCTCGCGCCCATACTATGGCTGGTGTACATCAACGATGTCGACAAGAACGCCCCAAACGACTCTACCTGGTCTCTGTTCGCCGATGACGTCGCCATCCTGGCCACGGGACCGTCCCTGGAGTCATGTGCGGCGAAGATGCAACCAGCGCTGGACACAGTCGCGTCGTGGGCCCGGGACTGGAAGGTGCAGGCGAGCGCCTCCAAGTGCTGTTTCACCACCTTCACCCTCGACCCAAAAGAGTGCGGAGGCAAGGTGGTACCGACGCTGAAGTTCTCAGGAGAACCTCTGAGGTACGACCCGAACCCGACTTTCCTGGGCATCACCTTCGACGACCAGCTAACCTTCAGCAGTCACATCTCCTCCCTCAAGGACAGGATGGCGAAGCGCAGACAGTGCCTGCAAGCACTCGCGGGGAAGACCTACGGAGCGCACCGCAGGACTCTCCGAACGGCCTACATCACCTACATCAGATCGGTCTTCGAGTACGGTGCGGCGGTGTACTTCACTCACGCCTCCCCCGCCCTGCGCGCCAAGATCGAAACTGAACAAAACAGGTGTGCCCGCATAATCACCGGATGCATCCTCCCGACGAACAGAGCGGCTCTGCTGGCGGAGGCGGACCTCCCCGCCCTGACAGTACGGGCCAAGGAACTGGCTGCTACCGAAGCCAGCCGCATCGCTCGCCTGCCAGCGGAAGACCGAGCCAAGCAGCTGCTGGAACGAGACCCCCGACCTCGCCTCAAGTACCGCGCGCACGAGGCCTGGAAACGGGCCTGCGCACTAGCTGCTGAGGAGGGACGACCGGAGCCAGCCCTGCCGGACGAAGACGCCCTGCTGCCCCACAAGCCATGTCTACGCAGAGTGGGCCAGTGGACTCTGAGGGAGGCGGGAGTGTCGGGCTGCCCAGCGGAGCCGTTCCTGAGGGTGTCACCGGAGCCGCCGTGGTCGGCCCATCAGGGGTCAGTGACCTTCATCGTGGACCTACCAACCACCACGCGGCGGACAGACCCACCTGACAAGAGGAGAGAGGCGGCAGAGCGCGCCCTGGCCGCCCTGCCCGCGCCAGACTGCTCCATATGGAGTGACGGCTCGGCGGCCGGAGGCACGTCCAACGGAGGAGGAGGGGCGGCCATCATCCTGCACCGGGAGAACGACCGCAGGATCGAGTGCCTGGCAGCTGCAGGCACCCACTGCAGCAGCACCAGGGCGGAGCTGGTGGCAGTCCGGGAGGCACTGAAGTCCCTGGCGAGCCTGCCGGCCGACTCCCTAGACGCCATCAAGGAGATCCGCCTTTGCACCGACTCCAGGGCGTGTCTACAGACGCTCCAGCGCGGGCAGGCAGCCCAACAGGAGGAGCTACCGGCGAGCATCTGGGCCTCTCTCCATGACCTCACGTGTTCCGGGAAGCACGTCACCCTCCAGTGGGTACCGGGGCATGCTGGCATCCCTGGTAATGAGGACGCCGACAGGCTAGCCAACCGAGCCGCGGCAGAGCTAAGCCAGGCAGCGATCCCGCTGGACATGGCCGGCGCCCGAGCGGCGATACGCCACAGATCCGCCGAGTGGACCGCAACCCGAGCCAAAGCTCATCCTCACCTACCACCCACGCCCGGACACGAGGAACTGACCAGGTGGGAGCAGGTGACACTGTCTCAACTGAGAGTGGGAAGATCAGTGCTCACAAGGAAGACTCTCCACGAGATCGGTCTTGCGACAAACCCCGACTGCCTGAACTGCGAGGAGGAGGACTCGGTTGCACACCTGCTGACCGAATGCCCAGCGTACGCCCGCATGAGGTCCCGCCTGTGGGGCGGACCTCTGCCGAGCCTGGGGCATGTGCTGGGCGGATCAGCGACTCTCATCTTCGAGTACCTGCGGCGGGTGGGCCGTGTCGACCCCCCGGTCGACGCTGCCACGGCCGTGGCCGCCCCGGCGTCCACGGCGTGACGTGTAGAAGAAGAAGAAGCTGGTGGTGGCTGCGCGCGGAGGGGGCCGGGTCAGGGGAACTGCCCGTGCGGGGAGGGGCGGGGCCGGGTCAGGGGGGAGCTCTGGTGGTCGGCTGCGCGCAGGGGGAGGGGCGGGGTCAGGTCAGGGGAGCTGCCCGCGCGGAGAGGGGCAGGGCTGGGTGCATAGGAGAGCTGCCCGCGCGTGACTGCGCCAGGGGCGTGTACTACGGCAGCACAGTAGACGGGTGCAGCACAGTGGAGAAGACACGGTTAGGGAACGAACGGGTTATAATGTCTCCAGCTTCCCGAATTCCTGAACAGTTAACAGTCAGTTAGTGGCGATAGCACTGTCGATGCTTCTGCGGAGCGCAGACGATGAAGTGAAAACACTAATATTCGTAAAAATAGTAGCAAAGGGCCGTAGCGACTTATAATAGATGGTATCGACTCTCTCAAACGTTAAGTGATATAGTCAGTCTTTCTACGAAACACATTGGGCTCTGGGAATGGGCGTGTCTACGCAAAAAAAAAAAACGCAAGTTGCGTCCAGACTTGTCCGGATCTAACCAGTATAAACAAGAACCATCCGGACTAAGCTGGATGTGTCCGGAATGATCTGACAAAATCCAGATGTATCCAGATAAAACAAGCATTGCGCCCCATGGCATTGATTACGTAACCATATGACGAAGATTAATGCCCGTCGGTGTCAATGGCACGCAGCGCAGACGAGGGCATGGTGGGGAGTCTCCCATCAAGGCGCTCCGATTAAAAAATGGCTTATAATAAATATTCAATAGCGCATGTACATAAACAATATCTACGTTTATTACATTATCGTAGCAGTCCAAAAGCTCTGACCAAGGCTCTGACATTTCTTGCTTTAAGTCGGTGCCCACCAAACGAGCTTAATGACAGAGGCGGTAGGTACCCAGAGGAGGAAAAACAGTTACCTACCGCCGCCCCTGTCACAAAACTAACAGTCATGTAGCGCTGGAGCCCATCATATGCCCGCAGAGGTCCGGAGGTCAGCGGCGCCTGGTGAGACTCAGCACGGGCCTGTCCTCTGTCTGTACTGTAAACGGGGGGCCGACTGGCGGCCATACACACGGAACCCGCCCGCCGAGTGACCGTGACGGGGGGGGGGGGGGGCAGCCGTCCGACCACGCCCCCTCTCCGGTGTTTGGATAGCTGCCATTCTGTATATGGTATGACTATTGTATACGCGACATAGGTATACATCCCCGGTCTCGGGTCACAGACTCTCCTGTTCTCGAGTACAGGTCTCGGGGGTTTTAGCGGTAGGTTTTGCACCTAGAAAATTTAGCGTACTTCAGGCTATATCATCGTCGTCTTGAGCTTTTAAGTGTTGAAGGTGCGATCGACTTGTTGGCTCACAAGCCGGCCATGATCGTGTAAAACTGCTTCATCGTCGTAGATCGATTAGTTTCTGAGTTAGTTTCATCGTCGTACCTACCGCTTAATCTCGCGAGAGCCGTACATGGTGTGACGCGGTACATACGGTATTACGGGGTCCCCGACCCTTCTGGTAGACGTGTAGACTTAGAGCCCAAGTATAAAGGAGCAACAAACAGTACAAACACGACAGACGGTAGGTGCCGCCGGTGTCTACATCCAACACACAGTACCGCCGGTCAGCGGTACACCCGGTCAGCGGTACCGCCCGTGCCCCGTACCTACACCGGTCAGCGGTACCACCGGTACACTCAGCGGTACACCCGGTCAGCGCCCGCAGCGGTACACCCGGTCAGCGGCACACCCGGTACGAACAGCCAGCCCACGGTACAGCCGGTACATACACCCATTTCGTGGTACACCCGGTCAGCAGTACAGCCGGTACATACAGCCGGCCGGCGGTACCGCCCAGGGTACATTGAGTGAAGTACCGGCAGTACCGCCCACCGTTACCGCCAGCGCACCACTGACCCTGAACCGGCCCCGAGTGGGTACCTATTGGTATACCGTTAGCGGGAGGTCAGTCACCTCAGCAGGGGTCGGCTCAGCTCAGCTCAGTAGAGTAGTCAGTCACATACCGGCCGGAGGTGAGAAGCCGTCCTCACCCACGGTAGGTGAAGACACCGATCGAGAAAGGGAGGCGTGGTCTATAGCAACTTCAAAACATTATCGGCACTGCCACGGCCCAGGATAATATGATAAAGATCGCTCGCTGCATTTATCCCGATCGGCGATCCACATCTTATCGGCTATCACTCATACATTATGCCACCAGGCATAAATGACAAAAGGACTGAGACATGAGTGACCTCAGGGTTCCAGGTAAACTACATGTTTTTTTCACAAACGAATGTAACGCATCAGCATTGCAACAATGACTGTCAAAGGGCATCAGCACGTGTCGGGTGCCACGTGGCAAGTCAGAGGTGTAGACTGTAGATGCGATAAATACTGAGCCACTCACCAACTTTGTACGCGGGTTTATCTCCAGCCATCTTGGCAAAGTTGAAGTAATCGACGTTGAACACGTGTTAGCACGTCGCCAGTTCCCCGAGCCGCACGAACACCGCCAGTTGGAACTCGAGAAAGGGGCGAAACGCGGCGGCTCTGGCTCTTTTATGCTTTTGAGCACGAAGATGTTATAACCTAGTTCATTGGTCAGAGGCCGTCCTAAGCAGCCAATCAAAATGTACCTTTGTGGGAATTGTATCACGGGAGCAGCAACAGCTGAGTAAACTGTACGCCTATTTATACTATTTCTTGGCAGATACTTGGCGAAATATTCGAAAAGCTTTTACTATTTGCAAATTAAATCCAATACTTTCCAGCTCTCTATTAATTTTTAAATCCAAATTACTTAATAGTCACTATTCATTCCGAAGATACAATTTTTATTTGGAAAATGTTTTTTAAATTCGCCTTAAACTAGCCTAGATGTAGCAATTATTGATCTTTTTTGCGCTATTCCTGGCAAGTGCGCTGTTATTGCCTCTTTTATGTCAAGGCTGTGCGCGTGACACTTCTGTGTCGCTGTGTTTTCGGTTTGGGCGGGTGAGTTGAGAGTAGGTATTTATTGTATTTTGATAACCATGATCAATCTTGTATTTTTGAAGTATTTCGTGAACGGAAATGCATGTCTCTTGTGTTAACCAACAGTTGGTTCTGTCCTTTTTTACCAAGGTGCAGCATAGGACAATGGGACAGCGCATTTTTGCGGTCACAAGCTTGAGCTATTCTATTGTATTGTTACCTATTTGTTATTTGCCTATGTGTTCACATTTACCCAGTAGTGCATATGACCGTTTCTCATGTTTAAATGACTTCATATTTTTTTTGTATTTTGCTCTTCAGTCCTTTGAACAGGTTTAGCCCGACATTTAGGTATCGGTAAGGCAGACGTTGCTGGAGCTGCCATACCTATGGACTATGTATGTGTTTGTTTTTGCAACAAAGGAGAGGCGGAGACCCGCAGATGTTTTTTGCCCACAGAAACTGTAACGTTGGTTGTAGGTTGTAGGTTCTGTTTTGGTTAGAAAGATGCATTCCCGGGGTGGCGCCTCTCCTTTTGTTGCAAAAAGTAAAAACGAAATGCGCCTTATGGCAACTCATGCGATGTCTGCCTTACCGATACCAAGAATTGCCCTCTAATCTGCTCACACAACTCTGGCTGGTATTGAGTGACTGGACGCAGGCCCTTGCACCGACCTTTCATTAATGGCTTTGATTATCTGTTTCAGGTTTCTTTGTCAGATTCTCCTAAAGCTACAAAATGAGGGACTGGCTGTTCAACATCCATGATGGTTATCTGGAGAGCCTGTGCCGAGGATTCAAAAACGGCATTCTCAAGAACAATGACTACCTGAACTTGGTGCAGTGTGAAACTCTTGAGGGTGAGTTTGCTGGGTGATCCATTGATGTTTCTGATTGGTTTAAAATTTGTTGGCCATTGATTGCTTACATCACACACCTTTCTAGTTTCTAGGTAACAACAAGTTGGTATCGGTAACCCTGGCGTCACCGGTAGTGTTTTCGTTCAAGGCTAAGGTTTCCTGTATTAGGCTGCCGTGCCAAGCCGAAGCATGCTGTGACGTCACTGGGTAAGAGAAGATAACGTACTATGCTATCAGTATCGACTGAGACGATCAGATAGACTCAGACCGACTCAGGCAGACTCAACTTGACTTGACCGACTTAAACCGATTCAGATCGACCCAGTCCGACTCAGAACGACTCAAACTGACTCAGACCAACTCAACCGACTTAAATCGATTGCGATTGACTCGGACAGACTCAGAACGACTCAGGCAGACTCAAACCGACTCAGGCTGACTCAATAGACTCAAACCGATTCAGATCGACTCAGACCGACTCAAACTAACTCAGACCGACTCAACCGACTCAAATCGCTTCCGATCGACTCAAATCGATTCCGATCGACTCAGACAGACTCAGGCAGACTCAGGCCGATTCAGATAGACTTAGACCGACTCAGATAGACTCAGAACGACTCAAACTGACTCAGAACAACTCAACCGACTCAAATCGTTCTGATAGACTCAGACAGACTCAGAACGATTCAGACAGACTCAGGCCGATTCAGACAGACTTAGACCGACTCAGATAGACTCAGAACGACTCAAACTGACTCAGAACAACTCAACCGACTCAAATCGTTCCGATCGACTCAGACAGACTCAGAACGACTCAGACGGACTCAGGCAGACTCAAACCAACTCAGCCATACTAAAACCGACTCAGGCAGACTCAAACCGACTCAGCTCAGACCGATTCAGATCGACTCAGACCGACTCATATAGACTCAGAACGACTCGAACTGACTCAGACCGACTCAACCGACTCAAATCGATTCCGATCGACTCAGACAGACTCAGAACGACTCAGACCAGGCAGATTCAAACCGACTCAGGCACACTCAAACTGACTCGACTGACTCAAACCGTTTCAGGTCTGATGATTCAGGTCAAACCGATGGGTCTGTCTGAGTCGGTCTAAATCGGTTTGAGTCGGTCTGTCAGTTTGAGTCGTTCTGACTCGCAGGGCTGCGGAGTCGATGGATTTTCGGCGACTCCGACTCCGACTCCGACTCTGGCTTTCAAAAACCAGCTCCGACTCCGACTCCGACTCCGGGCAGAATTGTCGACTCCGACCGACTCCAACTCCCGACTCCGACTCCGCAGGCCTAGCAGGGCTGCGGAGTCGACAGATTTTCGGTGACTCCGACTCCGACTCCGGCTCGGGTTTCTAAAATCGACTCCGACTCCGACTCCGACTCCGGTCACAACTGTCGACTCCGACCGACTCCGACTCCGACTCCGACTCCGACTCCGCAGCCTTGGTTCTGAGTCTAGCTGAGTCGGTCTGAGTCGATCTGAATTGGTTTGAGTCGGTCGAGTCAGTTTGAGTCTGTTTGAGTCTGCCAGTGCCTGAGGCTGTCTGAGTCGTTCCGAGTCTGTTTGAGTCGATCGGAATCGATTTGAGTCGGTTGATTCGGTCTGAGTCAGTTTGAGTCGTTCTGAATCTATACCTGAGTCGTCTGAGTCGATCTGAATCGGTTTGAGTCGGTCGAGTCAGTTAGAGTCTGCTTGAGTCGGTTTGAGTCGTTCTGAGTCTGTCTGAGTCGATCGGAATCGATTTGAGTCGGTTGATTCGGTCAGAGTCAGTTTGAGTCGTTCTGAGTCTATCTGAGTCGGCCTGAGTCTATCTGAATCGAGTTGAGTCGGTCGAGTCAGTTTGAGTCTACCTGAGTCGGTTTGAGTCGTTCTAAGTCTGTTTGAGTCGATCGGAATCGATTTGAGTCGGTTGATTCGGTCTGAGTCAGTTTGAGTCGTTTTGAGTCGGTCTGAGTCGATTTGAATCGGTTTGAGTCGGTCGAGTCAGTTTGAGTCTGCTTGAGTCGGTCTGAGTCTATCTGAGTCTCAGTCGATAGTCGATAGCGTGGTACGTTATCTTCTCTTACCCAGTGACGTCACAGCATGCTTCGGCTTGGCACGGCAGCCTAATACAGGAAACCTTAGCCTTGAACGAAAACACTACCGGTGACGCCAGGGTTACCGATACCCAACAAGTTGAAATGTATTACATTTTTGTCCAGCCTTCAATTTGTTTGCCCATTTGCTTTTACACCACAATCTGAATGAGATGCGATTCAACTCAAGTGATGAGAAAGTGATTTACTTTGTAAAGTGCATAAATACCTTTTTATTTTTGTAAATGTATCAGGAATGGATTGCATAGAAACATGTTCAGATCAGTAACTTTGATTATTTACCCAAGATCAATCTCTGCCCAACATGATAAAAACATGTTCTTGGCAAGGTGCACTTGGCACTTGCTGACCCAGCCCGCTCAACAGCATACAAATTTTTACATTTATTCCATTTTAGATATGTACCAGCATGATGACCATGTAGGGTGAACCATCCCACGATCTCTAATTCCCCTAATCCCTCTTCCCAGCCTGTGTCCAATATGTGCATTGCACCTTTTTAGGCGCAATTACAAAAAGTTAAGGACCAAATTCAAAACGTTCACGTGCATTTCAAAAGTAGACGTTTTGAATTTGGCCTTTAGCTTTTTGAGATTGCACCTATAAAGGTGCAGTCACTTGCTGACCCAGCCTGCCCTCTGTGACCCCTGCCCCGGTCCACTGGCTCTGCCCTGTTCCCCCCTCTACTGCTGGCCCTGGTCCCCCTGACTCTGCCCTGGTCCCCCTGACTCTGCCCTGGTCCCCCTGACTCTGCCCTGTCCCCTTCTACTGCAGCTGGCCCTGGTCCCCTGACTCTGCCCTGGTCCCCTGACTCTGCCCCGGTCCACTCGGACTCTGCCCTGGTCCCCCTGACTCTGCCCTGGTCCCCCTGACTCTGCCCTGGTCCCCCTGACTCTGCCCTGGTCCCCCTGACTCTGCCCTGGTCCCCCCGACTCTGCCCTGGTCCCCCTGACTCTGACCTGGTCCACTCGGACTCTGCCCTGGTCCCCTTCTACTGCTGGCCCTGGCCCCCCTGACTCTGCCCTGGCCCGCTCTGACCGCTGCACCGCCGCTCGCCCGGCAGACCTGAAGCTGCACCTGCAGTCGACCGACTACGGCCACTTCCTGGCCAACGAGGCCGGCCCGCTGTCCGTCACCACCATCGACGACCGGCTGCGCGACAAACTGGTGCTGGAGATGCAGCACATCCGCAACCACTCGGTGGAGCCGCTCTCCACCTTCATCGACTACATCACGTCAGTAACAGGGGCGGGGGAGGGGGGCACACTGCAGCTGCCAGTCGGTGGAGCCGCTCTCCACCTTCATCGACTACATCACGTCAGTAACAGGGGCGGGGGAGGGGGGCACACTGCAGCTGCCAGTCGGTGGAGCCGCTCTCCACCTTCATCGACTACATCACGTCAGTAACAGGGGGGGGAGGGGGACACACTGCAGCTGCCAGTCGGTGGAGCCGCTCTCCACCTTCATCGACTACATCACGTCAGTAACAGGGGCGGGGGAGGGGGGCACACTGCAGCTGCCAGTCGGTGGAGCCGCTCTCCACCTTCATCGACTACATCACGTCAGTAACAGGGGCGGGGGAGGGGGGCACACTGCAGCTACTGTGTGGAGCCGCTCTCCACCTTCATCGACTACATCACGTCAGTAACAGGGGCGGGGGAGGGGGGCACATCCGCAACCAGTCGGTGGAGCCGCTCTCCACCTTCATCGACTACATCACGTCAGTAACAGGGGCGGGGAGGGGGGCACACTGCAGCTGCCAGTCGGTGGAGCCGCTCTCCACCTTCATCGACTACATCACGTCAGTAACGAGGGCAGTGTCCCAAAATTGATTTCTAGCTGGGGTGTCAGAGGGGAAAATCAACCATCAAAAAGGGGGAGAATATAAAAGGGCTGGTTATTTAGATCCACAGAGTGGAAACGGACCAATGGCATGTTTTTATTATAAAGTTTAGAATGTATGAACTCAAACCGAGCATACACACAACTGCTTTTTCTCGAAAAAACAAACCTTTCTTGGTTGAGAGTGGAAAATTGCTCCTCAAAATTAATGGTGAGAGTCGAAAATGAATTTTATTTGGATGTCATTTTTCACCAAAATTGACAACTTTTGGGACACTGAACGAGGGCGGGGGAGGGGGGCACACTGCAGCTGCCAGTCGGTGGAGCCGCTCTCCACCTTCATCGACTACATCACGTCAGTAACGGGGGGCGGGGGAGGGGGGCACACTGCAGCTGCCAGTCGGTGGAGCCGCTCTCCACCTTCATCGACTACATCACGTCAGTAACAGGGAAAGGGGGAGGGGGACACACTGCAGCTGCCACTCGGTGGAGCCGCTCTCCACCTTCATCGACTACATCACGTCAGTCGGGGGGCAGTGGCGTATGGATTTGGGCACATCAGCGCGGTGATTTCCAGTTATCATCGGTATCAGCAGATCTTAAAAAAAAACATCATTTGCTCTGCTCTGAAATAATTTGATTGCATCATGCACGCTGCCGTTCGATATCATTTGAAGTCCGCAATGATTGCGTATGGGTGGCATGAGTGTTGTGGCGCCCAGACTATGGGAGGTATGTTAACCCTCGCATGTGTAGGGGGGGGGGTCGGATGGACCCCCCCCCCATGGTTTTTCGCGAATAACTCGCGTAAAAAGCGGCCGATCGCGACGAAACTTTCAGTACCCTCGCATTGATCAATTTGACACCTACCCTGAAAATTTCATGACCCTGACCCAAATGACCTTTGACCTGTGACCTCTTTTCCGAGACCATGTTTGGCCGGAATCGCGATTCGGCGTACGTCGGCTCGCATTAGCCGCGCGTTTGCAAGCTTTTCGTGGTTTCAAACGTTCAAACATGTGATTTGATGTTGCTCCCATGCATTAGGGCGGGTGTCAAGGTCACCTGAAGGTCAGGTCAGATCATTGACCTTTGGTGACCTCGGGTGACCTCGGTTCACTTTTTCGAGTTTTACATGTTTCTATGCTAGTTTTTGGAGCTGAATTCGAATTTAGCAACCATTTGAACATTTACGAAGTAGTTTTGGTGCCTTGGTAACATGTTACGAAGCTGTCAGAGGCGGTTGACACGTACTACGAATACCCGTCACGACGCCTACCTACTGATTGACCTGACCTGACCTGACCCGACCTGGTCTAAATGCTTAAAGACATCATCTGTGATCAAAACTAATACGATATTCGTGATCAGCACCCCGAAAAACCCCTTAGCAGCCACACTTTACGACTTTCTAATAGGTCCCGATTTTTCCGGCTTTGGGTCATTGACCTGACCTGGAAGGTCAACCAATGACCTAGGACCTTAAAATTGGGTATCATCGGCTTCCTCTCGTCACGGGCAACACGCTCGTTTTTTCCGTGAAGCTCTAGCTCGATCAGGGGCCAAACGGCAAGGGGGGGGTCCAACCGACCCCCCCCCCCCTACACATTAGAAGCTGGAAAACGCCGCACACATGCGAGGGTTAAATTGCGCTGGTACCTCGCTGGCTGTGTCACCGGTCCCCGCCCCGGTGATTCAGCAGCGGTGGGGCACTACCTGAACTCAATGAACTGACATATAATACTCCACCATGTTTATCACCAGCGCCGCTCTACTGGCGGACGACCCGAGTTTCCATGCCTGGTCCTATCCCTCTGTCTCCTGTCCTGCCTCTGTCCCTTCGATCTCTGTCCCGTCCTTGGCCATTCGCCCCCTGCCCCAGTCTGTATCTGTCTATGCGTCTCCTGTCCAGTCAGCCCTGTCCCTTCAGAGTTCACCCCCTCCCTGTCTGTCCCTTCACCCCCGTTTGCTGTCTGTCCCTTCACCCCTCCCTGTCTGTCCCTTCACCCCTCCCTGTCTGTCCCTTCACCCCCTCCCTGTCTGCCCCTGTCTCCCCCGCTCTGCCGCCTGTCTCTGACCGTCTGTCGACCACGGCTCCTCCAGGTACGGCTACATGATCGACAACATCATCCTGCTGATCACGGGCACGCTGCACCAGCGGCCGCTCTCGGAGCTGCTGCCCAAGTGCCACCCGCTGGGCAGCTTCGAACAGATGGAGGCCATCCACGTGGCTTCCACGCCGGCAGAGCTCTACAGCGCCGTGCTCGTCGACACGCCGCTCGGTGGGTCCGCGGTGGGACGGTGGACTGTGGACTGGCCTGGGGGAGGGGTAGAGAAGGGGAGGCTCCCATTGTGGAGCCGAGGCTCATCGGGTGGCGGGCAAGGACGGACGCTGGTGGTTACCTACGCTGTGACATAAGGATGTGATTGTGCTGGACTGGGTGTGACGTTTTTATTTTTACTGTTAGCCCTGTGGGATAAGAAGTCCCTTTGTATATTTATGACTTCTGCTATCGTCTTGTTCTCTGTAAGTGGTAACATTGCCGGGGTGTCGATGGAATGTGATGTTACCGTTACGTTACACCAGTACCGGGACTCCGCCGGGCTGTTATATAACGTTAGCACAAGCGCCGGTACGCAGCCCCGCCCACCGCGGTACCCGCCCCCGCTCACTGACCGCGCCCCGTCCGTCTGCGCAGCGCCGTTCTTCGTCGACTGCATCTCGGAGCAGGACCTGGACGAGATGAACATCGAGATCATCCGCAACACGCTCTACAAGGCCTACCTCGAGTCCTTCTACGGCTTCTGCAAGAGCGTCGGCGGCACCACGGCCGACGTCATGTGCGAGATCCTGGCGGTGAGTGACGTCATGTGCGACGGCTCGCGGTCAGTGGTGAGTCGGTGAACTTGACTACAGTCGGTTCTAGCTCATGGAGCGTAGAAGGTGTTACATAAGGCCGTGGTTTGCTTCTGAGGCATTTTTTATGTCAAGAGCGCGAGGGCGTATCAGTCACGTGAGGTGGAGCCAAGTGCTGCCGCCCCCGGCCCCCGCCAGGGCGGATGGATGTGATAGGCCCTGAGGTCTGGGGAAGGGGGGCTGACAACTTTCTGCCTTACACTGGTGTAACTTTGCCAGTGTATCCAGACCCACTTACTTTTGGTGTTCTCCCATCGGGTGTCCCGTCAGTTATCCCCACGGGACCTGCACTCGCTGGCTTACCTTCTCGAGGCCTTGTAATCTAAAAAATAGCTGTTTTCCGTCTTGTATGTGGGGTGGAATTCGCCGGTATCCCCTTCCCCTCCCCACTGCCCACAGCTTGAAACTGAACCTCTCTCCCTGTTCCCTGCAGCTTGACGCTGACCTCCCCCCTCTCCCTGCCCGCAGTTTGAGGCTGCTTGCTCCCACCCCCTGTTCTCGTGCAGTTTGAGGCTGAACCCCCCCCCCCCGTCCCTGTCCCCCGCAGTTTGAGACTAACCCCCCCCCCCTGTCCCCCGCAGTTTGAGGCTGACACCCCCCCCCCCCTGTCCCCCGCAGTTTGAGGCTGACACCCCCCTCCCCCTGTTCCCCGCAGTTTGAGGCTGACACCCCCCCCCCCCCCTCCCCCTGTTCCCCGCAGTTTGAGGCTGACCGTCGTGCCATCATCATCACAATCAACTCGTTCGGCACGGAGCTGAGCAAGGACGACCGGAGCAAGCTGTACCCGCGCTGCGGCAAGCTCAACCCGGACGGCATCGCCGCTCTGGCGCGCGCCGACGACTACGAACAGGTCAAGGCCGTCGCCGAGTACTACGGCGTGAGTACCCAGTGGGGGAGGGTGTACTACGGCGTGAGTACCCAGTGGGGGAGGGTGTACTACGGCGTGAGTACCGACTAGGGGGTGCAGTAGTACGGAGTCAATATCTAACAGGAGGGTGTTAACAGCGTGAGTACCTACTGGCGAGTGACGACTGCGTAAATGCATGCCGGGAAGGGGGCTATATGCAATGGAGCTGCTGTGTATATGCTGAGCAGCGGCAGGTCTGCGTTTCCAGTCCGCCTCATTCACAGCCCGGTCCGGTCTGAACCGTCCCGTTTGCTGTAGTACCGGGCGTGAACTTCTCTGACCCCCCTCCCCGTTTTCAGGAGTACCGCACTGGACGTGTGTTCTGACCCCTCCTCCTCCCTCCCCGTTCTCAGGAGTACCGCACTGGTATGTTCTGATTCATCCGCTTCCCTCCGTTCTCAGGAGTACCGCACTGGACGTGTGTTCTGACCCCCTCCCCCTCCCTCCCCGTTTTCAGGAGTACCGCACTGGTATGTTCTGATTCATCCGCGTCCCTCCGTTCTCAGGAGTACCGCACTGGACGTGTGTTCTGACCCCCTCCCCCTCCCTCCCCGTTCTCAGGAGTACCGCACTGATATGTTCTGATTCATCCGCGTCCCTCCGTTCTCAGGAGTACCGCACTGGACGTGTGTTCTGACCCCTCCCCCGTCCCTCCCCGTTCTCAGGAGTACCGCACTGGACGTGTGTTCTGACCCCTCCCCCGTCCCTCCCCGTTCTCAGGAGTACCGCACTGGACGTGTGTTCTGACCCCTCCCCCTCCTCCCCGTTCTTAGGAGTACCGCACGCTGTTTGACGAGGCCGGTAACAACCCGGGCGACAAGACACTCGAGGACAAGTTCTTCGAGCGCGAGGTGGGTGGGCTGTTCATTTATTTTTGGTATCTGTTAGAATGAAACTATTGGAGAAATATGTACCAGAAATGATCATGTCGGTACATACATTTGAAAAGTCATGCAAGGAAACAGGCCCTGCCGGAAGAAAACAGCTTATAAGTCGGAGACCGCTGGATTCTCCTCCTCCACGCAGGGAGCTGTATTTATTATGCCTGTAGCTAACCCCAGTAGCGATAGAATGTCATACTGTTAGCGGAGAAACGAAGCAAATGGTTCTGTATTTGATAGTTTCTGAATTAGGTGCCGCCGTCCCGGAGTTCCCACCCGTGCCACGTCTGTGACCGGGGCGGACCCGCTGTGGTATCGTGTGCACGCTCTGACCGGGGTGGACCCGCTGTGGTATCGTGTCTGACCGGCCGGGGCGGACCCGCTGTGGTATCGTGTCTGACCGGCCGCCCGGGCCGCTGTGGTATCGTGTATACGCTCTGACCGGGCCGCCCGGGCCGCCGCAGGTGCGCCTCAACATCAACGCCTTCCTGCAGCAGTTCCACTACGGCACCTTCTACTCGTACCTGAAGCTGAAGGAGCAGGAGTGCCGCAACATCGTCTGGATCGCTGAGTGCGTCTCGCAAAAACACAAGGCCAAAATCGATAACTACATCCCAATCTGGTAGGAATTCGAAAGACACGGTCGGCGACTTCCATTGGATGGGGGCGTGAGAACGAACAGCGCCAGATGGACGGCGCTGATTGGTCCAGATCTGGGCAGTCCGTGGCGCTGATTGGTCCATATCTGGGCAGTCCGTGGCGCTGGTTGGCGGAGCCTGATTTTCGGGCACGCTGATTGGCTCACGAGCCTGAATTATTAGCCAGTTCGAGGGCCTCTGACTCTGCTATTTGAATAACCCACTGAAAAAGAGTGATCAATTTAGGTGAAATAAGCCCGCAAGCCCATTAGGTATATTCTGTCAGATTTACGTTATATCTTGTCTGAGGCCGCTGTCTGACGTGTGTGTCGGAGTCGCGTTTTTAACCGGAGCTGGCACTGGCGAGCTCCGCCCTTAATGTTGTGTCCCAGAACCCAGAAAGCTATCACGCGAGCTCTGTATGTAAATGTTGAATGGCCGGATAGACTACACTTATGTCGATGGTCCGCGCAAATCATGTGTGCGTGTGTGCAATTATTGATTTATATACCTACATTTTGTGATGAATAATTGTATAGTCGTATGCGGCTGCATATATGCGTTCTGCGGTGTCGTGGAGTCCTTGCGGCCTGTCAGTAGGGCGGATCGACTGTAGCGCGGCCGCTACTGTACATTCCAACCGCCGGCGTTCGGCGTTCGGCCGCCGCCAACGTTAGTAGCAGGCGCCGCGGAGGAGCCAACAGAATAAAGCCACGAACCGACCGACGCGTACTCTGTGCTCTTGGCTGGAGAGTGGAACCCAAGGCCCTAAATACGCGGGTGAAACCCGTGGAACCGATGTCCGGCCAGGGTACTTTAGGCTATGTAGATTCCTAGAGATAGATATAGAAGGCTGAAACAGACTCCTTCCAAGGTCAGGAAATCGCATGCGAGAGTCGATTTAAATACATTAAATTGCGCTCTCATCAATCGTGCGCACCTCCCTGAGTATGATTGATGCTACCAGGATTTAATGTATTTGAAAAGGCTCTCGCGTGCGATTTCCTGACTGGCTTGAATCTGTTTCAGCTTTTCGCCGGAACACAGCTTTCAAGCATGAAATTGCGTCTCAGCACCTCTCATTGGAATACTATGGCGTACAGGGGCGCGGGAACTTCTTTCAGGCTGGGGGACGGGGGGCACACCATAATAATAGAGATCAACCTAGGGTACCCCCAAATCTAGTTTTCTCACCGGTTTTAGGCCACTTATGTTTCATCCCTTGACTTTTTCAACAACAAAAAAGAAAACATTTGCATAAAAAGTGCGGTATTACGTCTCAAAGTTGTCGAGGTACCACCCCCACGGCCCCAGAGATGGGGGGGGGGGGCAAGCTGCCCCCACTGCCCCTCCGGTTCCCGCGCCTATGGTGGCTTAGTTTCTGCTCTCAACTAGCAGCTCAACACGCGCTTCGAGATAGGAGCAGAAAACATGCCACGCATTTCTGTGGGAGGTGCCGAGACGTGATTTGCACGCTTGAAAGCCGCTTTACTCCGAGCTGAGGCCGGAACAAAGACGTTTGGAGCTTACCTTGAGCTTACCAAGGGAGCTAACGAGGTTTGAGGTCTATGAGGTGGGGGTCCAGGGGGCATAATATTATAAAGAGTACCTACATGCCTATTTCAGAGCTGACGTGACTGACATGATTGTGATTGGACTTAACCGGGGCTTTTTGGAATAGTCGAGCATTTATGAGAACAGATATGCTGGACCGTCTGGTGATTTGGGTTTTGCAGTGTTGTCCGGGACCCGGGTCGCACGCCGTCCGTATGGCTGGATGCCCCACGGTGAACCTGTGCCTCAGTGACAGTTTGCCTCGCTAGAGGACCTCTAGCACCCAGCGTCCGGCCACAACTGCCTGCCCAGGCCCTCGGAGGACGAAAATGAGAGTAAAGGACATGGACGGATGGGACGGCGGGCTGGTCGCTGAATCCAAACCAGCTGGATCGGTTCCGGTTCCCTCGTGGTTCAGGCATCTAAATGACACACTGGTTCCAAAGACAGCTCGAAGCGCTGCGCTGAACGGATCACGGGAGATTCACCCTGAGGAAAGGTACCGACCATCGAGTCACTGGGCGGACGGACCCGCGACCACTGTCGGCGGCGGGTGCACTACGGCCGAGTGTAGAGCACCACGCCACGGTGTAAGTACAGTCTGTCTTAAAGTACCGCGCAAAGTAACTGTGGATCCATCAAGCCTGACCGAGGAAGGACTGCTGACTGAGTCACCGAAGCAATTGACATCGTCGGCCATTCCCCAGGTCAATTGGTTCGGTGACTTTCAAATTATAGCAGGCCCTTTCTCGGTCAGGCTTGAGGGATCCACCGTCACTTTGCGCGATACTTTTAACCCGCGCCCCGTAGGGCTACCGGCGGACCCTACCACCCGTAGGGGGGGGGCCGATACGGCCCCCCCCTAAGATCTCGGAAAGTTACCGGCCGATTTTCAAAATTCAAACGGCGTTCGATAGCCCCACCCGGGAACTACCTTGTGACCAAATTTCATTGACCTAGGTCAAACCGATGACGTCACAGGTCAGGTCAAAGGTCAGATTTTCACCATTCACAGGCAATTCAAGAAATGTGCTGTGAAAGCGAGTAAATTGGTAATTTATTGAAAACCATCGATGGTACATTGTTTGTCAAACACATACTTTGCTATCTGAGGTCACTGATACCAGGTCAGGTCACAGCGAGGTCAGGTCACCGGGGTCACAATATGAATGTGTCGTGTGATACATGTTTTATGGTCCATTTTACATGACAAATGCGATTATGTGGGTTAGGCAGCCTTTGGGGCCAGCCTAGGTCACGTTTTTGTGAAGGTCAGGTCAAGGTCAGGTCAAATTAGGTCAAATTTCAAAGTTGATATTTTTGCATAAAATGGGTATCGATTCGATGCAGCTCGTCACGGGGAGTCTAATGGTGGTCTTCGTTTTGCTCTACGAGTTCTAGAATTGCCAAAAATTGAGTTTGAAAATTTGACGTCATCATTTTTGAACAGTTTTTTCGCTATAACTTGGCCAAAAAACGAGGTATCGATCTGAAATTTGGTATGTAGATAGAAGACGGTGGGCACTATCACATATATTCCGGTTTTTTCGAAACTCTAAAAACTTTTTGGATTTTTTTGCGAATATATCCAAAAAAATGCTTTTTTTTATTTTTGGGGGTCAAAACTCAGAAATTTCAAAAATTCGAGATAGCAGTTTTGTAGCCCTGTCAATTCTACACCTTTTATGTCTCGATCATTTTTCTGTATCTTCAAAGCTGTAGTCCTGACAGGTCTTCTCGCGAAGGTCTTTTTTCGGTCAAAAATGACAGAACATGACGTCACTCTGACGTCATTTGTGGCCAACCTATCATAGCCTCTGGAAAAATTTTTGGTCACAATGTGTAAAATTGATGCCCGGAGGGGTCCATGAAAGTTTGGTGGCGATATCTCCAGCCGTTTAGGAGATATCGACCGAAAAGGACAGGGGGGGCCGTTTCGGCCCCCCCCCTACGGGGCGCGGGTTAAGACAGACTGTACAGTGTACCGAGTTGCAAGTGCTAAACGCGGCAGGCGAGTCAGGCTTGAGTGCCTACCGAGGGGGAGGGGGGGGGGGCACCCGCCGGTATCGCAGTCAGCGGCATGCTGTCATGCCGTGTCGATCCGTGACGACAGACCGTTGCAGGGAGGGGCGCACATTACGTAACTGAAGTCGAGTACGGCCAACGAGCTCAGCCAGTTACATCGGGGCGAGCCTGTTACAGCTCACTGGTCTGAGCGGCTGAGCGCTCCCCGGGCGGACGGTACGCCGCCTGCCGGGCACCGAGGGACGCCGAGCTCAGACCCACGTCAGCGCCGTCCCGGGCGATCGACACACGCCGCCCACAGACAGTCGTCCACAACGCCACCACGTCAACCGTAATAATTTATTTGTCCAGCCAGAAACCGGCGCTCCACGGAGCGGTGAGCTCGGAAGGTTACAGTCGACTGCTGGGGTGGAGGGCGCGGCGCGCGGCGCACGGGCCCGCTCAGCCGGCGCCTGAGGTAGAGCGCTGAGGTCAGAGTGGCCGGCGCCGCGGGGCGGCCGCCTTTGTACCGGCGCACAGCGGCCGGCCCGAGAAGGCCGGGCGCAACTACCGATAGTCTAACAACTCAAATACCAATAAACATAGGTACATGCACGGCAGCGGTAGCATACGGGGGGCGCGGCGGGCCGGCGGACCGGCCACCGCGCCCGTACACCAACAGATACAGCGGACGGCGGCGGCGCCGGCGGGCGGTACCCGCGCCGCGCCGCCGCCGCCCAACACACCATGTAAGCAAAGAGTAACGGAGAACGGGTACTGAATGCAGCTATGATACAGTGTGGCGGCGCGCGGCGGCGGCCGGCCGCGCCGGCCCGGCTGCGCAGCGGACCTGAGGGAGCGGCGGGCACGGCCGACCGGCGCCGGCGCCACCGCGCGGGCGGCGCCCGACCGCCGGGCGAGGTAGGGGCACGCCTGCCAGCACTCCGCGGCAGCTCTCTGTCTGTCTCACTCTCTGGCATTGTCGCTCTCGTGGCGGCCCGGCGGTCGCGGCGCGCGAGGTAGGCTCGGTCGGTCTGGCTGATCGGCCGGGTAGGGGTGGGGTTCTGCCGGCGGGAGCCCGGCGCGCTCCCTGCAGGCTCCTCTTCTCTCTCCTGCTTTCCTTCTGTTTTTCTGTTCACCTTGTCTTCTCTCTTCGGTCACTCTCTCCTGGGCCGCCGGCGGGCCCGGATTGTCCCGGCGGCCGTCCGGCGCGCGGCGGCGCGTCTCAAGTACGCGCGGCCCGTCTAGCTCTCTCGCATATAAAATTCAACAAAAATTTCATTAACACATATAAAAAATAAACAATTTACTCACTAGACATATAAAAGACATCGATTCCCGCGCACCTATCAGCTAGCTGTTATCCGGTCGTGCTGTGGCGGTGGCGGTGGCACGGGGGCGCACGATGGCGCCCCCGGCCGGCCGCTGGGCGCTGCTGGTTCTGAGGGACGGCTGGAGGGTCGCGGCGCCCCCAGCCGGTCCTGAGGCTCGGCTGGAGGGTCCCCGGTCGGTCCTGAAGGGCTGGAGGGCCCACGGCCGGTCCTGAGGGTCGGCTGAAGGGCTGAGGCGCCCCCGGCCGGCCCCGATGGTCGGCTGGGGGCCGCGGCGCCCCCGGCCGGTCCTGAGGGTCGGCTGAAGGGCTGAGGCGCCCCCGGCCGGTCCCGATGGTCGGCTGGGGGCCGCGGCGCCCCCGGCCGGTCCTGAGGGTCGGCTGAAGGGCTGAGGCGCCCCCGGCCGGTCCCGATGGTCGGCTGGGGGCCGCGGCGCCCCCGGCCGGTCCTGAGGGTCGGCTGAAGGGCTGAGGCGCCCCCGGCCGGTCCCGATGGTCGGCTGGGGGGCGCGGCGCCCCCGGCCGGTCCTGAGGGTCGGCTGAAGGGCTGAGGCGCCCCCGGCCGGTCCCGATGGTCGGCTGGAGGTGGCGGCGGACAGAGGAGAGAGTGGCAGAGGCTGGGCGTCGGTCGGTGGTGGCCGGTGGTCGGTGGTGGCGGCAGCTGCGGCGGCGGGAGCGTCACTAGATGAGCGGCTGCGGCGGCGGCGATAGGGGCGCGCGCGGTGGCCGGCCGGCCGGCGGCGCGCCCTGCGCCACCAGCGCCCGGATACGCCGCTGCGCCGACTGCACCGAGTAGAAGGGCCCCACCATGTGCACGACCGTCTCCTCGGGCGCCAGGCCGTCCTCGGGCGGCTGCGGCAGCTTGATGACGGTGCCCGTGGAGCGCTGCAGCTCGCGCACGTTCTGGCCCTTTTTGCCGATGATGCGGCCCACCTGTGAGCTGGGCACGGTCAGCTCCACCGGCAGCCGGACGTCCTCGATCCCGACGCCGTAGCCCTCCTCTCGCATCTTGTCAAATATCAAAAACTGCGCCTGCCGGGGACCGAACGGGCGGGCGTCAGTACATAGCGACACTGGCGCTCAGACGAGGCTGCGGCTGAGACAATCAGCTGACTGAAAACGTAACGCACGTTTTATCTTTCTCAGATAGAAACAATCGCTTCGGACTAGTGTCTATAAACGATCAGCGCATAATTCTATTTGTGTGCACGGTGAAACCACCCGAGCAATGTCAGCTCACAGCCGTTATGATTCAGGTCAGAACAGCCGGCGCCTGCACACAACTGCATCCCGTGGTGATCCAAGTGGTGCCGACAAAAAGGCAGACTGCCCTTGATAGACCATATGTTTGTATCGCCAAAACCGCCTAAAAACGTGTCGGCCCGTGTGTCCGGGTCACAGCTGCGCGGCCCCCCGTCCCTCCCGCGGGGGAGGGGGGATGGGGGTCACTTACCTTCCACTGCGCCTCGGGCGTGCCGTAGATGGTCACCTTCCTCTCCGCTACGTGCTCCAGCAGCGGCGCCTTGTGTCCGCCGGGCTCGGAGCCGTCCGTGGGCGGCGGCGGCGAGTGGCGCGCGCCCGGCGAACCGCCGCCGCCGCCGCCGCCGCCCTCCTCCTCCTGCTGGCCGATTTTGACCGAGGCGCCGCTGAAGCGGATCATGTTGCGGATGTAGTTGCCCTTGCGGCCGATGATGGCTCCGACGGCGGCGCTGGGCACGTACAGGCAGACGGTCTCGGAGGCGGGCGCCGGCTGCTGGCCGGCCGGCCCGCTCGGGTAGACGGGCGGGTAGGCCGCCGGCCCGGCGCCGTACAGACCCGGCGCGCCGCGGCTGAAGCCCAGACCGATGGTGGACATCATGGCCATGGGGTGCAGGCCCGGGTACATGATGGACTGCGGCGCCAGCGCCTGCAGGTCGTTCTCGTAGCTCTGGCGCAGCTTGGCCACCACCAGCCGCTCGGCGTCCGACATACCCTCCAGGCCGCCCTTGATGGTGATGGTCCGCTCCAGGTTGAAGCTGTTGATGTCGGCCACACTGCCGGACGGAGGGGACGGCACCGATAAACACAGTGCGGCTACAGCAGAGATAAACACAGTGCAGTTTACAGCGGAGCTACTCGGGGGATGCCCGATGATACAATCGCCGAACGGGCGCTATTCGGAGGACAGCATCCTTTCGTCGAAAAATAACCATGATATAAGCTTATAATACCTAACTTGTCTCTGTCACAAGCTGCTTTGAACGTAAGAGTAGACGTCTACGTCAACGTCTACTAACTACTATTGAGTGGACGTTATTGATTAAACTTTCCAATAAACAGCCTACAATAAGTTATGGGTTCTCCAAAGGATTATGATCATTCCAATCATGGCATGATGCCATTCCAATCATGGAATGATGCAGTAAACGAGTAGAGAGTAGAGACGGAGAGGGAGAGGGAGAGGGAGAGGGAGAGGGAGAGAGAGAGAGAGAGAGAGAGAGAGAGAGAGAGAGAGAGAGAGAGAGAGAGAGAGAGAGAGAGAGAGAGAGAGAGAGAGAGAGAGCTCCAGGCCCGTTTCTTCACCTGGACACGGTGATTTTCGTGTCGGTCTCCTCCATCACTCGTTTGATTACGTTGCCGCCCTTGCCGATGATCCGTCCGATCAGGTTATTGTGGGCCAGTATTTTCAGCGGCACTTCCCTGTGAACGCGGGCCGGCCGTCACAGCTGCTCCTCCGCCCACACGGAGACGGAGACGGAGCCGGACCTCGGGTCATGGAACACTGGGGTCTGAACTGGGGTCAAACACACGAGGCTAACTGGGGACAGCTGCGGTTCATTGGGCTCTGAATTGGGGCCAGTCAATCTGGGGCCACACTAGGATCTTCAAGGCAGCTGGCACGAACTAACCCAACATGTAATACACATTACCCATACAATTCATCAGCGCATCACTACCGGGTACAAAGAATAAATATCCCATCATGAGCAATAACCTATCGCGGTGTTTGCAGTTGAAGTTGATGTGTATGTATGTGCTATAGTTTACTATGCAGATTTGATGTAAATAATCTAGTATCTAAATCAGACAGAGTACGGCATCGACGTAAAATGGCAGTGAACATTTCACTCCAGCCACCTGATCAGCTCGGTGTACAGGGTGTCTCAAAAGTTCGCTTACAGGTACCAGCCATGCTTTTTTGTCAATAATTCTGAATCAACATGAAATTAACAGTCGAAATTTTGCATGGACATTGGTAACAACCTTCCTCAAGCAGCTTGATTGTTTTCAAGCGCATTCGACCCTTCATGAGCACACAAAAAGGGTTCACCTCTGACCATGGATCAGGCGTGAAAATGGAGGTCGCATACTCGGGTCGGCTGAGAAACTCTCTGCTTCACGAGTAATGGGAATGGTTAGGTCGGAAATGACACATGGCAAGGTGTCGGCGAGGATGAGTACAACATGATGGTCATCAAATAAAAACGGTGGCTAAAATTTTTGAAGGACAAAACCATGCGAGACTAACAGCGCTTTGAACGACCCTTGTACCGCAGCAGACTCGTGCTCTGGAAAGCAGCTGAAAATGCAGTCCTAACTATTGAAAACTGACTAGAAGCTAACAGACAGAGGTTACCCAGTTTCAAAAATTGCAGGTCATCATAAAATAAAGACAAAATATCATTTAAAATTGTTTATAATATCTATAACGCTAAATTTTGAGGGAAAATAATGCGAAAATCGTCAATGCCGAAGACAAGTGACCCTCCAAAAGTGTCAATGAATGTAAAGTTTTATCTAACGAAGTTTCAAGAGGCAGATCTGGAGCAAATAGCTTTCTTTTACACACAAAATCCGGACAAAACCGCACGATGGACAGGTTTTGGCCGTTTACAAAGCAGAACCTCTCCTGAGGAAAACACTCCGGAACCCAGCGAAGGTCTCGGCATTGGGAATGACGAGCGTTCGGGATTTGCAAATTTTGCAAAATGTGTCTAAGAAACAGATGGCCGACACATTCTGCTACGATATGCTGCGAAAAATTTCCCCTGGCACTTCCCATTTGTTCAGGAATGGGGTTGTTTTGAAAAGGAAAATGGTGCTTGGGAGGTCGGCGCCAGTCATTCATGAAGGAGTTAGCGCCAGAGAAGACCTACAAAATACTCACGGATGGTGTCGATGCAAGCTATCGGCTTTCAGGGAGAAGCGGATGTTGCCGGGGAGCTCGCCAAACCTAAATCCGACGCAGAAACTGCGGGGGATTCCCCTACAAGAGCTTGAAAGCTGGTAACCTTTTATCAGCCTCCGGCAGCTGACGGAGTGACGAAAATCGGTATGGGCAAATATTTTTGGAGATACAGCAAATGGTTTGGTTTCCAACCTTCCGAATCAGTTGTCAAAGCATGCATATTTGTCTAGTGTACACACGGACACCAAAACCTTAGATTTTTGGCCGGTTCTTATATGCTTTATTGACATGGGAAATGTGTAAGCGAACTTTTGAGACACCCTGTAGTGTGACGGGACGACAGGCTCGGACAGGGCATAGGTGCGCCAGACCGCTTCTCCGACTTACCCCTTATTTGTATTGGCCGCCTCTTGCATCATGACTTCAATGATTTTCTTGCACGCATTATCACAGTTCTCTGGGTTGCCATATATCGTAATGGCCTTCTCTAAGGAGCCAGTGTTGTCCTTTCTATGCACATCAACCCTGCGAAAGACAAGGACAAGTAAGTCAGCATATAGTCGACAGCTTCACTTCACCCTCCGGGGCAATGTCCGGGGGGGGGGCAATGTCAGCCCAAATGTCCAGGTGTCCGTCCGTACAGTCCAGTCTAATAACGCGACACGGGCCCCCCGCCCTAACTCATCCGCCAGAGAGCATCATAATCGGACGACTTTTGTCATAACTTAACTCGCAAACCAAATGCAGCGGGTATGCCACAGAATCCAAAACATTTCTCAGCGCTGAATAGGGATGAGACAATCAATTTATCCCACATTAGTAGCTGGACTATCGGTATAGCATTGCATACAGTGAAATGCACGGGCAGCAGGTGACTTCATGTTCGTGTCACTCTTTCAGCCGCTCGGGTCGCGTGACACCCCCCCCCCCCCCGTTTTCGTCCCTGCCGACCCCCGCCCCCCGGGCCGGCAGCCGGCGGTCAGTGACCCCAGCACGGGGAACGTTTCCACCTGGGAATTTCCTGTTTGTGATCTCTATGAATGAAGTTGAGGTTAGCGGCCATGTCGTGCTATACAAGTGAACATCGTGTATGATTTTCCTGTCCGCGACTGGGGCACAACGGACACTGGCACGGTGGCTCAACCAGCCCTTTTCCAAACGAGGACCATTGCAATGAGGCGGTGAACCATGACCCAATCGAAACTTGCCATACAGCTTCCAATGATACAAAACATACATATACCTGCCAGGAAATGTATCGCGGTAACGCAAAAGGGTACATTGGGCAAAAGGAAGTATAAAATAGAGTGATAGTTTTGTGCCCTAACACTAAGCCACTCTGGCAACAGTTCCAGTTGATTATCTTCGGCTCAAGGTACCATAATACCTTTCCCTGGGGCATTCCACGTCAAATCAAACACCGAAATCCGTCATCCCCTTCGATTTTTCTGAAAATTTGTAGGCAGACTGGGCATGGTTCAAAACTGAGTTACGTATAATATTTTCGAAATTTGATAACGTATCGCTGAGATATAGGTCATCGAATATAGCGAAAAATGCCACACATCAATTTTTTAAATGGCTATAACTCTGGTTCCTTTTCTGGTATCAAAATGATATTAACAGGGTCTTATAGGCAATTGATAAGGCTTTGATTTTTAATTATAAAATTAAATTGAAGTGACCTTGAAATGCACTTGACCTTGAATTTAAACAGAAAAATTTAAATAGCAAAAAACACGTCATCTTCGATTTGGGTAATTTTTACATATTATGTCCGTCACAATGTTCCTAACCATCTGTGAAAAAATTGGAGTGGGCCATTCATAACTTTCGCGGCAAACGCCGTTTTCATGCATCAACATCACGCAACCGCGCGTGACCTTGAAAGACAGAGTCAAGACATGCTTGCTTGTGCACACTTTCTGAAATGAATGATTGCTGATTAGTGATATCCCAAACTCTGCGAGAAAGGAAATGCATAGTCATCGTAGTCAAGCATTCACGTTCCATAGTAAAAGTGTCTCAGGCAAACAGTATTTTGCGGTGAATTTTGAGCCGTGTGGAAATGCATCATGAAGTAAATTCAACGAAAACATTATCACACAACGATATCTTCACGTCTTTTGATCTTCACTATACGAAAGAACATACATTTTTTAGTATGTATGGGGAATTTCTAGTTAATCCAATAATAAATATGGCAGTTAGAGGCCTGCTAAGAGTAACATGTCGCCGGCTGAGGCGGGCTCGGCCGATGCGGGAAACGCAGCAATCACAATTTTGTGTTTACACGTTCATATTTCAATTGTTTACCAACCGATTTTCAAAATTCTTTCACCATAAGATTGCCTGTACATTTCTTAGTCTTCTCACAAAATTTGACGCGAATCGAACGTAATCAGCGGTAGGGAGCGCGATGTAAAGACGGAACCGTTCCGTTCCGTCCCGGCACAGTCTACAATTCAGGCGGCGCGTAGCGGTCGGCGCCGGCTGCCGAGTCGCCGCGTCGCTGCGGCGACAGGATGTTCACTTTACACCGCTATTACTAGAACAGTTGTGAACCGATTTTCTTATTGCTTGCACGATGAGATGTCCAATTCAATTCTTGACAGGTAGCCATAATTAATTTCGCATTAATCTTATGAGATATTGGCGAAAAACAGGAGGGGTGGGCGAAATTCGCTCTTCCCCCCTTCACTGCGCGTGCTAACATACGTTTGCATATGTGCAATTTTCTTCAAAACTTATGAATGGCCCACTCTAATTTTTTTCACAGGTTGTTAAGAATATGGTAGGCAATAAAATATATGAAAATGAGCCAAATCGAAGGTGACGTGTTTTTTGCTATTTCAATATTTGTGCTTAAGAACAGAGTTAAGCAAATTTCAAGGTCATATATTTAAGTAGGTGCAATTCTAAACAAATGCTTAAGAAATTACCTAAACAGTAAGGTTTATTTCATTCAAATCAAACAAGTATAACCAAAGTTATGGTCGTTCAAAAATATAAAGATGCAACATTTTGTAAAAATTTGATGCCCTATATTTAGAAGACCTGTGGTCAGAATGTGCAAAAAACATCAATGTAATGTCCGGGGCCACACAGGAACTCGCTCACAAATTTATAATGAAATCGCTGATGGTAAGGTGCAAAACAGCCGATTTTTGTTCGATTTGACGTGGAATGCCCCCCCTGCCGATGCTCGGCTCATTGTGTTAGTATGGGCCTTGGTCAGTACGCAGTTGCATTGTTGTGCCATGTCTGTGCCAGTTGCGGAAGTGCGCATGACATGGCGCAAGTCAGCAGTCCGATACATACATAATGCATTATATGTTAAGTGGAACCAGCATTCCCCGCGTCTTGGGAAGCAGAAATTAGCAGAACGAACGGCTGTTGCACGCGAGCCCAGTTCCAGCCCGTAGCAGCTTGATGTAACGTTAGAAGCTGAATGTCGCCTGATTTTGACGGTGAACGACTGATAGGCCACACAGCAGAATGCAGTGTAAGACCTTAATCGGTAACGGTTTTGAGGCTGATGGCGTCCAGAGTGATAGAGACCGATGTCAATGTTTTATCACCTGGCACAACCGACATCGGTCACAGGAACGCTACGCCCACCGGCTGTCGGTCTCAGGAGATCATGTATGTACCGCCCCAGCAGCCCGTCCCTCGCGCGGCCCTCGGGTCAGCAGTCAGCTGCCCGTCCCTCGCGCGGCCCGTGTGCTGGGTGCCACTGACGGCGCCGGCTCAGCCAGCGAGGCCGGCAGCCGGCGGTTTCCACCAGTAACGGTGAGCAGCGCGCCCACGCAGCCGAATTAACATACAAATGTCGCCGAGACACGACTGCTGGCCGTGATCCTTCCACCGCTCCACGGTCCCGCGACCGTGACTGTATGGCACCCCGTGACCCTTCGACACCCCTGCGGCCGTGACCTGTAAGTACCCCTACCAAATCTCCACAGCCCCGCAGCCGTGACCTGTGCGGTACCCCCGTGACCGGCAGCGGCGCTCCACAGCCCGCCGCCGTGACCTGACAGTCCCCTGTGACCCTTCCAGCGCTCCACAGCCCAACGGCCTCCACTGAGCCGTCCTCTGTGTGCTCTGTGTGATCTGTCCTCACCTGGCGCGGGTGCTCTGTGTGATCTGCCGGATCGTGTTGCCCTGCCGACCGATGATGGCGCCCACCATCTCGCTGTTGACCAGGATACGCAGCGGAAAGTCGGCCTGGGGCGCCGGCTGGCCCGACAGCGCGCCGAACGGCATGCCAGGTCGGCCGGCGGGCCGGGCCCGGGGCGGCCGCCCGCCGCCGCCGCCACCGCCCAGACCGTCCAGCGCCGGGCCGCCGCCCCCGCCCCCGCCGCCGCCGCCTCCTCCGTTCATGCCGTGGTCGTTCATCTGGTTCATGACCCTGCCGGAGGGGAATACGGAGGTCAGTAGTCGCCGTGGCCCGCCGAGGGCCGCGAGGAAACACAAAACAGGGTCACGGACCACCGTATGCCGCACACTTGGCAGCTCCATAACGGACGCTTCAAGTCTGCGCTATCTGTATAATGCCACTTCAAACGCTTCAAAGGCCTCCTCAGAACATCGCCTATCTTTAAGAGATAAATGCTACCAACGGTCACCATAACAATATCGAGAACGATTGGAGTAACACCAGGCATTTGTCAGTAAGATGGTCATTGGTCAAGACAAACGGTGTTTTTGCCAAAGATCCGTAAGCAGTCTATCTCCAATAGCCTGTCAGGACGGGATAGTCGCCCAACTAGCTGTCAGCTGACGGTCCAGCCGTTCGACGAGTGCTGGCTATTTGGGCAATATCCACAGAGAACGTCATCATCCGGCCGCGACTTCACTTTCCAGAGCTTCGGGAGCTCGGAGCCTTAAATCAGTCTGACGCGGACAATATCCGACGCGGGGCCGCGGGGCGCGCCACTGCCGTCCGTCGCCAGTGGACTCCGGTGGACACAGGTCGGATGCCGGTGGACGCTGCCGGACGCCAGTGGACGCCGGTAGAACGAGGGGGGACGGTCGTCACAGGTCTCCGGTAGACGCCGTCGGCAGTACACAGCACACAGGTTACCGGTCGCCGCCGTCGTCATCGCATGTCGACAGCCGGCCAGATAAGGCGGCGGATCGAGCCGGACGGACGAGACTGCCAGACTGGCGGGACGGGACAAGACAGGCGGGGTAGGGCAGTGCAACAGGCGGGACGGGACAAGACAGGCGGGTAGGGCAGTGGGACAGGCGGGGCGGGACTACACGGTGTGCGGGACGGAGCTGAGGGACAGCGAGACAGGCGGGACGGGACCACGGCCCCGGTCACCGCGCTCCGCAGCTGCCTCCTCTGCTCCCACCCCATCCCCAGTCCTCCTCCGCGGGAAGGGACGGAGTGCCGCCCTCCACAGACACACACCGACCGCCCTCAGCTGTCCTCAGTGGTCAGCAGGGCATCCTCGCGCCCCGCGCCGCGATGACGACTCACTTCTCACAGCGGTAATTGACTTCAGGCGGCGCCCCTCGACTGTTAATGAGCTGAGTGGCGCCCCCGCCCTGCGCCACCGAGCTCGTGACAGACTATCGGCGCCCCCCCCCCCCGACCTATGGACTCCCGGCGCCATCTCCGGGCCACAAACTGCCGCCGACCTATGGACTGGTCACACGCCATAAACAAGATTGTCTCCGAACGGAGCCACACACGACGAGGCGAACACGAAACCGCCGAGAGACTAGAGGGGACTCCATATAACCATTGAGTCGCCGGAAACCACCGAGAGACGAGGGGCGGGCTCCATAGAGAAGAAGCTCATGTAACCCCGGGGCTGTCCGAAAACACCGAGAGACAATAGGGAACCTATGGAAACCCACGTGACTACTGCAGCCGTCTGAAACCATCCGGTAATGGCCGGCTCGCCCAGCTCGGCCCAGCTGGCTCCAGATAACTGACACTTCAATGGGTGGGTTCAGTAAAACGCCTAAATCGTTAACGGTCTACTTCCGTTCGTAGCCTCACTCAGGGAAGTTGATAAACCATCGGAGATACGGAATGACGCTTCACGTGAACTATGCACAGAGGCGGGTCCTATCACTAGCCGTGAAGTGCTGCAAATTGCTGCCTATCTGTCCGACAGCCCTGTCGACGATAGTCGCCGGCGCCGCCCCCGCGACCTCAGCTATCGGTCCGCCGCCCCACCGTCCGCCCGCCCCAGGCCGGGCCGGGCCGGGAAGCGGTGGAACGCCCCCTCCCCACACGGGCGCGTGGCCCGTGTCAGACCGGCCGGCTGGCGTCTCCATCCAGCCGGGCTCATGGGCCAGACACACTCCTCAGGCACCCCGGCGGCGCCGCCGACCTGCGTGTCTCGCACGCGCTACGGGGGGGGGGGGCAGGGGAAGGGAGGGGACCCGGAACAGCCGGCGTCTGACCGAGTGATCTGACAGAGCCTGCGCCCTGCACGACGTTCGGATAGGATCCGTGAGAAACCATCGACTCCACGGGGAATCGCCACGCCGCGTTCCGACTGGCACTCGGCTCACTGGCGCCCTGTTCGATAGACGAGCTGGGTAGAAGGCAATGGAGAGATACCTGCGGTATGTGGGCAGGCCAGTGGACAAACCGAGCCAGTGGACACGACAGTTGACACCTGAAGGCGACCGACAGACACAAGGCCCTGCAACTGACACCGACACGGCGACTGACACCGACACGGCGACTGACACCGACACGGCGACTGACACCGCCGTGCCTGCTCGCCGACCCCCGGGCGCCCGGCGAGCGGCGGCTCGAGTCGATGCGACACGCCGTAAGTAGGTCACCAAGTGGGCCGTCAACAAGGCAGCGTAGCGGGGCGGCGGCGGCGGTGGGCGGCGGGGTCCGGCCGCCGCCGGCAGCGGTGGAGTACAGTACGGCAGCAGTCGGCGGCCCGCCGGCGGCGCAGCGGCACCGGTCACCGAGCTGCGCCCGGCCGGTCGGTCGGCCGCGCCGCATACCAAGGCTGAATCACGGCCGGCGGCCCCAGCGGAACGGACGGACGCCTGCCACGTCAGCGCCGGAGTACGGCGCACTGCGCTGCCGGCAGCGGGCCGCCGCGCCGTCACACGGCCGCCGCTGGTCACCGGCCCCTCAGCACTCACTCACTACTCCGCCACTGCGGCGACAGCCCGCTGCACCCGGCGCTGCCTCTCGGCCCGGGCCGCCACGCCCCACCTGGTCTCTGAGCCGGCCGGCACCTACCTGATCTGACTCCGGCGGCGCAGCGCGGCCCCCTCCCACTCGGCGTCAGCTCAGCGAGCGCCGGCCGTCGGCACACCACCCCAACACGTCCACCACCGGCCGGCGGCGACAGCTGACTGCGGCGCGTCAGCTGACATCCGCCCCGCCCGGCCCCCTCCCCCCCCCCCACACACACACACCGAGCGCCGGGCGGCAGTCCCAGTGGGCCGGCGGGGGTCAGCGCGGGGCGGAGTGGGGCACACAGGGGTACCGTGCCGCCGTCCCCTACCCCATCGGCTCTCCCCTGTCGATTGCAGCCCTTTTCCAGCGGGTCGGCGTGACGAGCGGCGACCACCGAGACGACATACCCTGCCACCTGGCGGCCGGGCGGCGAAGCTGGCACGGCAGTCGTGCAGTGGAGGCCACGCCTCCGCGCGGCCAACTGGGGAGCCTGGGGAGCGGCGGCGGACGACCGGCCGGGCCGCCCTCCGCCCTCCGCTGTGCAGGGCCCGCTCCCAGGGGTAGACGGGGGAGAGGGGCAGCATGGCGCGCCGCCGCACCGGCCGCCTCACACACATCCCCCGGCCCCAGCGAACACGATGTCTGCCCAGGTCGAGCCACTGTGTTTGTTTTGTTGATTTAGGCCCGTTCCGTCTAGTTACTCCACTTCAATGGCATTAGATGTGAGGATAAATAAGAAGGCATTGTGCTTTATGGACGACAGACTGATGCACCGCGGCGGCCGAGTCCATCCCGCTGTGACGAGAGGGCCCCGGTGACCAGGGGCGGATCCAGCCGATCCGTTTGGGGAGGGCAAAAGTTTAGCCGACCATCGGCGACCCCGACCCACCACCGCGCCAGTGACCAAGTGACTTTACAACGCCAGTAGGGTAGCCCGGGGCAAGTCGCCCACCTCAATAGAAAATGCATATATCTCATACGTTTTCCTTATTACAAACGAGTTTGTGATGCTATTTTATCAATTGGTTATTTATCTTGAATGTATGGAAGAGCTCAGTGTCCTGATGAAGAGAAGTTGTTCATTTTTGCGATTTACAAAGAGAGTTACAAAAGGTCATGTTACCCATATACGGGGTAAGATGGTGTAAATTTAAAATGTCCTATGTTAACCCGTGCGCAGCCGCGCTGGGGCTCCTGGATTTTCACGACCCTGGGGGATGTTTGAACACCCATCTACCTTCTAACTCGGCTCCTGGGCCACGTAGCAAAACGCGGTAGGCGGCGTTTGAAAGATCGTCAAACATAATGACCAAATAACCCCAGTCACTTTTAAGGTCAGGTCAGAGGTCAGGTCACCAGAGGCCATCAAAGGCCAAATTCGACAATAGTTAGGTCCAGTTTCGACAACTTTTGAAGAAGAAAAAAACTGGCGCATAACTCGGAAACGAATAGAGCTAGAGCACCCCAGAAAAACTGATTTGAGGCCTGTTATTGCTCTTTCTGGATAATTCCCTCAGATTGGACCTCAGATGAATGGCTTAGCCTCTAGGGGGAACTGCCAAAATAGACCATTTTTACGGGAACGGATTTTCTGCGATAACTTTTGACTCAAACCTTGTAAGATTTTATTTTTACCGACATCGTGCTCCTCTCGTCAAAACGCGTCGAATGAGTTATAATTTGATCTTAAAGAGTGAACTTAAAACTTACAAAATTGGTCAAGGTCATGACCTGACCGGAAAAGGTCGTGTCGCATATCAGTCGATCCGTATTGTCAAGCTGAACACATCTAAGGTGTTTCTATTGCTCTAGATTGCCTCTATCAAAAGTTATTAGCGAACTGTTGCAAACTGTTGCACATCTTTCGTGACCTGAGATGACCTCAGGGACATAAGAAGGGGTCACGGGTGCCATTTTCCGGTTCATTTTGTCCTGTTTAGGTTGTAACTCGGTATTGTTAAGAATGACGTTTTTTTTTATAAATTTAGCACGAATGTTTGAAAGGACGGATTGACGTAGCCGGAGCCCACGCTAAGCAGAGCTTGTTGCGTAGAGCCCGCCCCCTACCGTCCGATCGCGTAATTCCGGGTGACGGGAGAATTTAGATGCCAAAGTTAACGTGCCCTTCAAAGCCAGACACGGCCTGTCCCATTCCTGACTTCAGCTGGCTGCGACTGCTCCCACCAACCGCAGACCATCCTCATCAGGAGTCTCAAATATCGAGCGCCGGAGCGTCT